TGGGTGGGGCAGAAGTAAGCCACCTCCTCTCCCTCCCAGCTCCCTCACCTCCCAGCTCCCTCAGGTGCCCTCACTGTTTGATTTTGTTTTTCTTCCCCGATTCCTCCTCTCCTTTCTGGCCTGTGTCCTGGCCCTCCTGACAGGTCAGGTCTACCCATGGGGGAACCGGTTCCAGCCAAACCGTACCAACCTGTGGCAGGTAAGACCCACTTCCTCCTCAGCAGCCCCAGCCTCCTCCTGCAGGAGGTGGGCATCATGGGAGGGGATGTGGGGCTCAGAGGGCTTGTGTCCTGATGGAACTGAAAACTCTGCACTGGTAAGGCAAAGACAAGAGGGTGTGGGGGAGACTTCACCACAAAGGGTAACGCTGGAGCTGGTCAGGTAGGAGGTTGCCGAGTGAAAAGTCCAGGCATTCCCAGCCAAGGGAGCACCAGGGCATGTTCAGAGGTGTGGCCGTTTCAGGAAGTAAGGGGCTACAGGAGATAGGAAAAGAGCAGGTTGGAGACAGATTGTGGAGGACCCAGCTGCCTAGACAGGTCTTAGGCTTACCCTTCAGGCAGTGGGGAGCCAGCAGGGGTTTACTTGTTTGTTTCTGGGGACGGAACCCAGGAATCCAAGGCCTGGGCTTGCTGGGCACACAGTGTATGGCTGCAGGTGTGTGCTGGAGCACCATCATTCTGAGGCAGGAAGAAATGCACTGAGGCTGACTTGTGCAGGAGCAGGTGAGGTAGAACTGCAGATGTGACGGGATGTATTGAGTCCCAGGCTATGGAAGTGGCCCAGGGGTCATCAGTTCTCAAATTAAGTGGAAACAGGATCAAGAGAGGAAGCCAAATGGGAGAAGCATGTGTGAGAAGGTGGACAGGGTTTGATAATTCATCAAATGTGGAAGGGTGGAGGAGGGTGGACTCCAGCCTGAGCCCAGGCTTGGGCCATATGGCTAAGATGCTGCCTCATCTACACAGATAACCTGCACATCAGCAGTCAGGGGGGAGTCTATGGGCTCAGGGTCAGCCCAGGTCAGGTGCTCTTGTCAGTAAAGATTGAAAACAGGAGGGGAGCCCCTGTCTGGCTCCCAAGGCCCAGGTTTGTTCCCAGCAGGGAGTCATCAGGCATCTACCTTTTAGAGGATGGCTGGAGGCTCTAGAGTTGGGGGATTCCTCACCAGCCTGTTAGGGAAAGCATCAAAGAGGGCCTGCAGTTATAATGACCTATTTATGTTTTTGTTGGTGTGTCTGTGTGGTGCTGGGGATGGATCCCAGAACCTTGCACATGCTAGGCAGGTGCTCTACCACTGAGCCACACCCCAGCCCTTTCTATTGTTTGAGATAGGGTCTCACTAAGTTGCCCCAGCTGGCCTCCAACTTGTGATCCTCCTCCCCCAGCCTCCTGAGCTGGGGTTACAGATGTGTGCCACTGCACCTGGCCACTTTGCTGAGTTTTTAAGGGAGGCAACATGTGGCACTGAGGATAGTCACATTAAGGGAGAGAAGTGTAAGTGATGTAGTGCATGGTGGCGCTGAGCAGATCACCAACCGTCACACAGCTGCTTACAGGCAGTGGTGCCAACCACGCCCCAGGTTAAGGAAAGGTGACAGAGCTCAACAAGTTATGACAGCAAGCGTCAGTCACGTTTTTAAGGATTTTTCTTGTAAAGAGTAGGAGAGAGGAATAGTAGGGTGGGGTGGATGAGAGGGCATTAAGGTTGTTGTGGTGGAAGGGAGAAGGCTCAGGGGGGTACCCATGGTCCTGCGAAGGCAGCAGGTGCAGGACCTGGAGGAGAGTGGGAAATGCAGTTCCCAGTAGCTCCACAGCGCGAGGGTATCAAGGCAGAGGGCAGGAGGTCTCTGAAAGCCAACAGTAGGAGGACAGGCTGGACGTGGACCGCTGTGGGCACGGAAACGCACTCTTCCTGACCCAGCCTGAGGGGAGCCTTAGGTTATGGCTCCAGCCCCTTTTTGGGCCAGCTCTGCAGCAAGGGGACCATGGATTTTTCCTCCAGGCAGGGTTTCCTGTCTTGGAATAGGCTGATAGACCCTTCAGGGTTAATTTCTCCCACCAGGGAACATTCCCCAAGGGTGACAGAGCTGAGGATGGCTTCCACGGAGTCTCGCCAGTGAATGCCTTTCCCCCACAGAATAGCTACGGTAGGCTCTCTCCCGAGTTGCCGATGGTCGTCATGCTGCCCATTCTCCCCAAGCCGCAGACAGGTTGGGGGATCTCGTGCTTCCCAGCCTGGCTGATGCTCCTACTATGTTGCAGGGATCTATGACCTCATGGGCAATGTGTGGGAGTGGACCGCATCACCCTACCGGGCCGCTGGCCAGGACATGCGTGTTCTCCGGGGTGCATCCTGGATCGACACCATTGATGGTTCTGCCAACCACCGGGCCCGGGTCACCACTAGGTGAGAGCTTGGTCCTGTGGAACATGGCTCAGCAGCCAGGGCCCGGGGGTCTGTCCTGGCTGCAGGAGCCCAGGTGGCTGATGCGGGTGCTGCTTCTGGGCACCAGCCTCTGCTGGGGTTGTGGGCACAGAACAGGAACAGGCAAGAAGAATTAGGGGCCTGGGGAAACTTGCAGCATTTCCTGCCAGCTCGCCACCCCAGGGGGGACTATGTGGCCCACTAACTGTATGGGCATCCCTCTCATCCTCCCTAAGCAGGTGGGAGCAGGGGGATGGGGGTAGAGAGGCCACATCAGGTCATTGCCGGTGGACATGGAATTACTGACTCTCCAAGTAGATGGGCACATGAAAAATCATTTTTTATAATCCTTTGCTTTACAATCAAGAAAAAAAAGGCTCAGGAGGTCCTGGGACCTCCTTATTTCACACAGATGTTTAGTGGTGGCACCTGGCTGGCGGAGTTCCTGAACCCCCTTCCAGGACCCTCTTTCAGCATCTGCAGGTTTAATTTAGCTACTAACCTCTGCAGCTCCTTCCACTGGATTCCTTAAGGTCTTAGAGTCTTCTGTCTGTGGCCTCACGACATCAAGGCTACAGAGGTTTATTTGATGCTTTGAAATTTCTGAATTTTCTTCGCCTTTCTCTTTTGAACAAAATAGTGGAGAACCAGGAAGGCCTGGAGCAGGAATCTGGGTTTTCTGCTGACTGCCCCACCCCCCTCCTACCATACACATGGCCTTCCTGGCCTCTGATTCTGGATCTAGGAAATGCTGACATCCTGCCTTGCAGAGCAGGGGAAGTAGCATGTGAAGGAAAGCTGGGGATGCCATTTCACTCGGTGCCTACAGGATTTGGGGCTGTGCTGTTCTAACCCCCCACAGTGGAGGTTGTTATAGTGATAGCCAAGCCCTGTCCTCCAGTCCCATCCCTCAGGGCCACTCCGCGTACCCTACTCTGTCCCACACCCCGGGAGTGGTTCTCACCCAGGACTTGCCCTTATACCAGGTCTCTCCTGGCCACGCTGCTGCAGGCCTCAGACACACCAGCCTCAGCAAGCCTGGGGTGGGCAGGAAGGGTGGGATGGCCACCAGCCCCTCTCAACACAGGCTTCTCTCCCCTTCTCTAATGCAGGATGGGCAACACTCCGGACTCTGCCTCAGACAACCTGGGCTTCCGCTGTGCTTCAGGAGCAGGCCGCCCGCCCGGGGAGCTGTGAGTTGCTGGCAACAGGGGCAGGAGAAAAGTTCCCCTGAGACCCAGGTCATTCCCTGGCCATATTCCAAACGCAGCTGACCCTAAGCTCTTAAACTGCAGCTTCGGGGACACCCTCCCCTGCCTGCCCATCTTCCACAGCAGGCGTTTCCCAAGGCATGGTGGGCTCTCCCTCTGAGAACTGCCCCTGTCTCAGGGAAGGAGCCTGACTGCAGTGACTGGGAGCTGGGTGTCCCCTGGAGGCCAAGCATTGACCATACAGGGCCAGATAGGAAAACTGTTGGAACAGAGGGCTCCAAAGTGCAGTTCCCAAAACATTTGTAAATCTGTTACCTTCCCTTTCTCCCTGATTGAGAGATCTGACATTTCCTCAACACAAAATTTTCTAAGGCAGCTGTTTTCCCAGCAGATTTTTGTAGAAGGAAAATGCTTCCTTTATCTGCCTCATCTATAGTGTTTCTTGCTCCTTTCAAGGAACTATCTGTAAAAATGCAATGGGTTAGGCGGGAGTTGTGACTCAGTGGTAGAGCACTTGCCTACCATGTGGGTTCGATTCTCAGCACCACATGTAAATAAATGAATAAAATAAAGGTCCATCAACATCTAAAAAAATTTTTTTTAATGCAACGGGCTTCATACACACACACACACACACACACTCACACACTCACACTCAGAACCTACAGGTGCTCTACCACCGAGATACACCAGCCCTTTTTATTTTTTATTTTGAGACAGGATTTGGGTAAGTTACCCAGACTGGCCTTGAACTTTACAAGTGTGCTGCCATGCTGGGCCCAGTGTCAATCTTAAATAATTTACCAGGAAGCTGTGCATTGTGGCAGTCACAAAGCAAATAATCCAGAAGCTTTCCCTTCTGATGTTTTTTGTTGTTGTTGTTTTGCTTTTTGGTACCAGGGATTGTACTCAGGGACACTTGACCACTGAGCCATATCCCCTTTTTTGTATTTTATTTAGAGACAGAGTTTCATTGAGTTGCTTGAAGCCTTGCTTCTTGTTGAAGCTGGCTTTGAACTCATGATTCTCCTGCCTCAGCTTCCTGAGCTGCCTGCCACTGTGCTGGCTCTCTTCTGATGTTAATTATATGTCTTACTTGTATAGGAGCTTCTGATGCCTCTAAAAACATCCCTAGCAAAAAACCTGCTCCATGTCATCAGATGTCACCACATCAATAAACTTGCAATTGTGTATCTCAGACATTTCTCTTTTTTGGTACTGGGGATCGAACCCAGGGTTGCTTTACGCCTACCTGAGCCCCATCCCCAGCTTTCTTTATTTATTTTGAGACGGGGGTCTTTCTGTGTTGCCCAGGCTGGTCTTGACCTTCATCCTCCTGCCTCAACCTCCAGAGTCGCAGGCATCATGGTGTGCGCCACCACACCTGGCTGATCCTCACCCTGGCACCCTTAGGAAGGGTTCCAACTGTCAGTAACCCTGGCTCCCCATGGAAGGAAACTGGGATGGTGCAGGCTGGGCCGTGGAGAAGCAGGAGGACTCGTGGTTGTTTCAGACCACACCTGTTCTACATTTATCGCCATGCGGTGCACACGCTCACGCTGCTCTTCTTGCGGAGGCCTTGCAGGGACAGCCGCCTGCATCCGAGGATTCAAGCTGGGCCCTGGTGCTCCTCACACACAGGCCAATGCGGGGTCTCATGGCTGCCTGCCCCACCGCCCCTCAGTAGTCTTCCTCGGCCAGCGAGAGGAGCACGGCCTTGGGTGTGTTCTCGAAGAGCGCGGCCCTGTTCTGCTGCTGACCCTTCTTCACCCAGTGGCCATAGATGCGGAAAGCGTAGGCGTCGATGAGGCGGCGCAGCGGCCGCAGCGCATACGGGTCGCGGATGACGATCTCCCGGGTTACCGGTTTCACGCGGCGGTACTGGTAGTAGATCCTCACTGCAGCCAGCACGGTCAGCGCGATGGCCTGCGAAGGACCTGCTCTGAGAACTCCCCTAGGGTAACCCCAGCCCTGCACAGCCCCCCAGGTCCCCAGCCCGCCAGAATGATCAGAGTGATCCTGCCGAGGGGCCACACTGAGAGTGTCCCCCAAGCGGCCCACTGGGCCCTGCGCAGTCCCCCACGTCCCCAGCCTGCCAGCATTATCAGAGCGATCCTGCCTAGGGGCCACACTGAGAGTGTCCCCCAAGCGGCCCACTGGGCCCTGCACAGTCCTGGCCCACAGAACCAGCCAGGTGCCATGCTCTTCTGCAGCCAGGAGTTGAGCTGGAACCCTCCCAGGTGAAGAGCAATGCACTGGACAGCGTGGATGTGAGAGCCCCTGGGTGTCTTGGGGCCAAGACCTCAGGAGCAGCAGCACCTGCCCTAGGGCCACGAGTCAAGGGAAGGACAATACCTTGAACTTGCCACGAGGGCTGAAGTGCCGCACCTCTTCCACCACGTACTGCTGGAAGAAGGGGTGTGCCAAGGCCTCCTCCGCAGTGCAGCGGTTGTGGGGCTGCACTACCAAGAAGCGGGATACCTGAGCGAACAGGAGAGAGGAGCTGAGCACCAAGGCGGCCCCCCCAGCACATCAGAAGACCCCTCCCCAGGCCATGCTGGACGAGCCCAGAGTCCTGGCCTCTCACCAGGTCCTTCACGGTGTCTGAGTAATCATCCCATTCCGGGGAGCCAAACTGGTAGTTGCCACTCATGATCATCCTCAGCATCAGCATCTGCTTCCGGTGCCAGAAGGGTGGAGAGCCAGCCAGCAGGGTGTACATGATGACCCCTGTGCTCCACCTGGGTTGTGCAAGGGCTGCTTATTATCCCTAGCAGATGGGTAGGTGAGTGCAGGAGGGCTGGCTGCCCCTCCTAGCAGCATCAGGGAAGGAGAGGGAGCATCTCTGTTCCAACCTAGTCCTGCCCATGGATCCCTCCTCCCTCCCCACCTCCTGCACTCACATGTCCACCTCCTTCCCATAGCCTGGATGGTCATCGTTCATGGAGCACTCAATGATTTCCGGGGCCAGGTAACTGGGGGTCCCACAGACCTCTGCAGAAGAGTTACTGTCAGGACCAGTCAGCAGAGGGCACTTAGAAGAGGAAGGCCAAAGATACAGTGGAGATGTAAGGGAAGTGGGGCTGGGACTGGGGTTGGCCTAACACTGGCCAACTTCAGGGCTGAGGGCAGGGGCAGGGTTCACACAGGCCCAAGGGCTGCCTTTTGGTTCCCTTTTACCCATCCCAGCCTGGAGCTTAGACAGTGGCAACCTGGCTCAGTGCAGTCCCGGAAAGAGGACTCAACCTGAAGAGGCACCTAGCCCTCCACTGGCAGGACTTTATTCTGGTGGAGAATGGCAGGGAGAAACCCAGGCTCTCTGGTCCTGGAGAACTGACCAGGACCAGAGAGCTTCAGAGAGCCTGAGCCCCTGACATGTCAGACCTCTCAGCTTCTCTCCCGGCTGCAGCTGACAGGAAAAGCCAAAGTCCGTGAGCTTGATATTCATGTTGTCATCCAAGAGGATGTTCTCAGGCTTCAGGTCCCGGTGTACAATGTTGAGCTTGTGCAAGGCACTGATCACTTCCAGCAGGGCTCTCATGATCTTTCTAGGGTGGGCACATATGTTGCTCCTTTCTTTTTCCTTTTTAAAGTTTTTAATTGGCTGTGGTTTTTCTTTTACTAGAGCATTATAGTTATACATAATAGTTGGGCTCATTTTGACAAAATGATACCTGCATGGAATTTGATTGACTCCATTTCAGTCCCCATTACCCACCCTTCCCCCACCCTAGTCTCCGTCCTCTGTCCTCTGTTCTACATGTCTTCCTTTCACTCATGTATTTATGTTTGATTGGTGCTTTGTAGACACACAAATCAAACACTCCATAAGACAGACCGCGTTCCACCCCATGTTATTCTACTCTGCAGGGTCAGGTAGTAGCAGGGAGAGCAAAGCTCACATACCAGCCACACTGCCAGCACGAGGAGGAGGGCTTGGGACAGGCTGGGAGGGTCCAGACCCAGCCAGGGAGGCAGGGCACCAAGACAGCAGTGCACACTCCCAGTTGAGACAGGGCACACCATGCCTCCTAGACCTCACACCTGTGCTGCTAGGACACTGGAAGGGGCTGGAAAGAGGGGCAGACAGACCCTCACCTGGTTTCTTTCTCACTCAAGGTGACCTTCTCAGTGAGGTAGTCAAAGAGCTCCCCTCTCTTCATCCTGTGGGAACAGGTTCTAGTCATGCTTGTCCCAAGATCACCCCTCACCCTGCTCCCAGAGGGACAAGATGGGCTGCCGTTCTTCCTGAAGGACCCAAGTCTGGGGAGAGGAACTGGGGGAGTGAGTACAGAATTTGGCAAGAATTGGAAGAAAAGAGGAGGCTGGAAAGGTGGGATGCACACCAGTGCTGGGGTCCCTGTCTGTGGAAGTGCCATCATAGGCTGGGACCTGTCAGAACCCAGATCAAAGCTGGAGGTCAAAAGGCCCCCTGAGCCCAGGGTTCCAGGTGCAGATCAGAAGGACTCGAGTATCCGGAATTTTCCCAGGAGACAAATGGGAGGAATCAACACTGAATGTTGGGAAGGTTTGCCTGTAACAGGGTCAAGAACTGCCACTCAATCTCCTTACCTCTTGGGAGGATCTTGAAAGGGTCTCTGCTAGAATGATCTAGTTATGCCCTGAGGGCTCCTGAGGGCAACAGCAAAAATAAATTCCCCAAGCAGCCTCTTCAAAGGTTAAAGACATTTGAGCTACCCCCAAAGGTGGGACAGGATGGTGCAGGTGCTGCAGATTGGGGAGAGCAGCAGCTGGTCAAGTCTGGAGGGGTCTTCGGAGAGTCTGCCAAGACTAAGTAGGAAAAGGCACATCCTGTCCTTCCTTCCCACCCCTCCAAGGGTCAAGGGATCCCCATGGCAAAGGGGAGGAGAGTGAATGGAGGAACAGATTTGTGGCCAGCATCACAGAGAGGAAGAAAACCTTCAGCTTGGTGGGCAGGTTGAGAAGGGAAAGGGTGTCTTTTTGAGATGACCTAGAATTTACAGAGGTGAGCCTCGTTTTACACAGTACCTGTAATGTGTTCCTAAAAGGTAATGTGTGAATCCAGTCTTTATCCTCGTTTGTTTCCAGTGCTGGAGATTAAACCCAAGGCCTCCCACATGCTAGGCAGGCACTCTAATCACTGAGATACACCTCCAGCCCCAGTCTCTATCATTTTAGTTTATTTGAAAGATACTAGGAGAACTCACTATCAGCAGCGGCAGCAATGATTGGCCAGTGAACACTGGGGGCCATGCACTGCTCCTCAGTGGGCTCTACCTTCCCGGAGCTAACCATGTATTTATGCTTACATGTGAGGCTAAATTGTTTCTCTAAGTCAGTAAGCCTGGTGTGGTGACACACACCTGTAATCCCAGAGACTCAGGAGGCTGAGGCAAGAAGACTGAAAGTTTGAGGCCAGCCTAGGCAACTTAGTGAGGCCCAGCCTCAAAATACAAAATGAAAAGGGCTGGGAATGTAACTCAGTGGTAAAGTGTCCCTGGTCCATTCCCAGCACCACAAATTTAATTAATTAATTAAAAATTTAAAAAGTCAAATAATACTGAACATAGTATAGCTACAATGCGAAATATTTCAGCAATACATAACTTACTTGAATAATTTCTCAAGTAACCCCTGTCCCTAAAACTATTGCATATGGAGAAATCATACTTGTTTTTGCAGAGGTTGACATTCTCAGTGAAAAGGCAGTGGAGGGGAACAAGGAGTAGCGCAATCCCTTCCCTGGGAAGCTTTAATAACAAAGACGATGACGAGTTTGAACACAGTTCATAGAGTACTTTGTGTTGCTCACACTTGACACTCAGTGACAAGGAGCTCAAGCAAAGGGGTGATCTTGATACTAATGGTATTGACCTTTGAACCACATCTTGGATGCAGCCTCTGCCCTCCACACTGCTGGCCCACATCCTGCCACTGGGATCCTTGTCAGAAACCAACAGTTCCATGGTGAAGCACCTGCCCAGGTGCAGCAGGCCCTCTGGGGAGAGTCAGGGTTAGGGTTATCATGGCTATAGTGCCTGCAGCACCTGCTCCTTGGTTCCAGCCTCACATCCTGCTGCTCCGCACAAGCTCACTCCCCCTACTCGGGGGCCTTGCAGATCCCAGCCACGGGGCCCACGAGCCAGCTCTTCCCTTGGCTGGAGACCTGCTCGGGGCCTTTGCTCTGGTCCTTCCATGCCTTCCCCCTACACCTCTACTCAAGTCACCTCCTAGAGACTTTGCTTGAAGTCCTGGTCCCCCTAACCTTTTGCTGTGCCTTATGTGCATGTACATGTACTCGACTACAAGTCAGGACCTGGTCTGGCCTTTCCATTGCCACGTCCTCCATGTCTAGAATAAATATGGAGTGGCCCCCAGCACAACTGTCACTGCAGTTAATAATCACTATCATGCTGTGCCAAGCACGGTGCCATTATTGCTCCCATAAGACAGATAAGAAGACCAATATTGAGAGAAACCACCTGGCCCATATGTGGTGGACCCAGGTTTCAAAGCCTGGCATCCTGACCTAAGGGGCTGCTTGGCCACAGATCTTTGGACCTCTTTGGCCTCTTTGATAATGGGGGCCAGTGCTGGTCTGCAGGCAGCACTGGGCAGGAGCCAGAGTGGAGGTTCTCCAGCAGGCCCAGGTGTGGCTGGCTGCAGTTTTGGGTACTTACAGGTCAAACACCAGGAAGAAGAAGGTGTTGGTCTCATAAGTGTCCTTCAGTTGTACTGAAATGGAAACATCTAGCTGGTTTCAATTGGAAGGGGGCAGGGTATAGGGGCACGAGGGATGAAAGCTAGGAGAGCGTGGAGGGAGCAGGTTGGGGGTCAGAGGAAGTCAACCTGGACGTGGGCAGACCCGGGACTTGACACTCCACCTTCCCACCCATACCCACTCCAGCCCTGCCTGTGACCCTGCTGACAGCAGCGAAGGTGTGGTTGGTGACTCCGAGCCATGGGGCCCTGAGGCTGCAGACCCTCAGTCTGGGCAGCCACTCAGTGGGTCACAAGGCCCTTCCTGGGCTCTCAGAACAGGATCCTGGCAGAGTATCTGCTGTGGCCTGGGGCCATCACTCACTGATGTTCGGGTGTCCAGAGACTTTGCGCAGGATGTCCACCTCCTTCAGTGTGGCCTCTCGCAGCTCCTGCACTTCCTGGGGGCTGAAGCTGCCTCCACCGGTGATGTCGATGATCTTCACAGCGTACTCCTGACATGTGGGCTTGTGGATGCAGCGCCTGACCACACTGCTGACTCCCCTAGCGTGCAGAGCACAGGTGACAAAAGGGACCCTACCCTAGGGGAGTCCCAGGTCCAGGCCGGGGCCAGGATGCTCTGCCCTTGTAATTCACACTTTCCCCAAATCCCTGTGAGTTTTGGGGGAGATGGGGTGAAGAAATAAAGGCACAGGGGTGATTTTCCTAGAGCTGGGCATAGCAAGCCAGGCTCAGTGCTCGTCCTCAGCAGGTAGAGAGAAGGGGTACCCTCCCCGGGCCACAGCCTTCCCCAGGATTCCTGACCCTAACCCCCAGCCCAAGGCCAGGTTTGGATGTGCTGAACAACAGCACCTGAGAATCTTTTGCAGGAAACATATCTGATCTCATTCCTCTTTCCTGTCCTGGATTCAGGAGGGCAGGCCCCTAAGCTGAAGGATTCTCCAAGGGGACAGTGCTTAGGGGATGGACACGGGTCGGTGTTCAGGGTTAGCAGAGTTGGCACAGCCCACAGGGCCTGCTGGAGCCCAGACGCACTCCTCAGGACAGTGTGGCTCCTACCTGCCCAGAATCTCCTTGGGCTCGTAGTTCTCATAGAAGCCCTGTGTGGAATAAGAGTCTGGCAGTCCCTCATCCCGCGTCATAGTAGCTCCTCAGGGTGAGTCCCAGGGTCCCTAAAGGAGAACAGAAAGAAGCCATCAGCCTCCTGACACTGGTGGTGTGCTCCTGAGGGCTGGAACTGTTTCTCATTCCCCCTTTTTTGTTTTTTTTTGTTTTTTTGGTACCGGGGATTGAACCCAGGCTTGCTTCACCACTGATCCACGTCCCCAGCCCTTTTTCAAGGATTTTAAAATTTTGAGACAGGATCTCACTAAGGCCCTAGGGCCTTGCTAAGTTGCTGAGTCTCGCCTTCAACTTGCAATCCTCCTGCCTCAACCTCCTGAGTCTCTGGGATTACAGGTGTTGGTCACCGTGCCCAGCTCTCATTCATCGTTATACCTTCTGGCACAGGACAGGCCTATAGTGAATGTTCAAAATAAATATTAGTGAAAAAAATCCAGCTGCCTCTGACTGCCCAGCCCCTTCTGGTCCCCCAGTGATGACCACCTTTCCTCCCTGTGAGTTCTCTTCCTCTCTGCTGGGAGCTTTGGAAAGAGCCCAGCTTGCTTCTTCCCACTGGCTAATGCTCCTGTGATCCTCAGGACACTTGAGGCTCCTTATGGTCACAGATGGGGGTAGCAAATTGTTGGCCAAGCCCAGGCTTAGCCCTGGGGCAAGAGATCAGGTTAGCTTTAGTGAGGCCAGCACATCCTTGTTTTTAGAAAGAGCCAAGCTAAACAACAGAGGGCAAATTCAAGTGCAATTTACTTTATCTTTGAAGGAGACTAGACCAGTCCTGTTTTTCTTCTGCAACTGTGGAAGAGGCGAGAACCTCGACTTGGTGCTTGCATTCTGATCCTTGTTCATCATGCCTCCCTTCCTTTCAGGAAGCCCTTCTCATTGCTCCTCCCTCGCTTTGCCCACAGCCAGGGCTTCTGTAATCCCTCCCTCATCCATTTTCCCATCTTTCATTCTGTAGAACATAATGCCTATGCTTGGCCAAGCGCAGAGCCAGGTGCTCTGAGGGATGCAGAGCTGGGCGGCGAGTCCCGGCCCAGCATCTGGAACAATCTGCCAGTGTGTGCTGTCATCTCTGTTGGACTGTGACCTCCCCTAGGATGCGTCCATCACCTCTGCCTTCTGTGCTCGGATGTGGGAGATACTGCTCCTGAAATGGGAGTCCATGGCTGGGTAGGGAAGCCTGTGGTCCAGGGTCCTACCTAACAATGGGGAGGACTGTTGAGCCGGTGTGGCTCTTCTGCAGTGTGGGGCAGCATAGTCAGGAAAGTTGAGCCTGTACCTAGGGAGCCGAGAAGGCCCACTTGACCAGGGAACTGGGCTCCTACCTCAGGTGCAGGCTTTAACAGGTGCAGACAACAGGAAGAGGGGAAGATAGAGAATGGGCACAAGCTGCCTCTGACCCCACATCTACCACACCCTGGTCTCTCAGGGAGGCTGATTTGCTGACCAGCCAACCAGCAGCCCTGGCTGCCTTGGGACCCAGGCTGACCATTCCAGAAGGCCTGGTGTCCCTGCTACTGGGTGCCTGGTTACCAGAGGGAGGCTTAGAATAACAACAGTCTCCTTGCCAGGAGCAAGGGCTGGACTGCACAAAGGTCTCCTCTGCCCCGTCAGCAACCAACAGAGCCCGGGAGAGTATGTTCCCCCAAACAAGCCCCTTTTCTGACAAGTCCTTCCAAGTTCCCAAGATGGGCATTCGTGCATCTCGAAACTGAGCAGCACCAGGCTCCTCCCTTCCCTGGGCCTCCATGGGCAGAGGGTATATCCGGACCCATGCCAGGAGGCCATTCCCTGACAGCCAAGTGGGCCAGGTCCTGCTGCGCTCACCTTTTCTGGTGTGTGTGTTGTGTGTGTCCCTCTGCTTGGAGGCCTGAGCAGAGCCAACTTTGTGTTCCTATCCACTGCCCATCAGCCTTTCACATCTTTCCCAAGCCCCTTTGGAGAAGATTCCCAAACAGGAGTGGGTGGTCGGGTCTTTTAGGAACATAACAGCCCTCCCCAAAAGCTAGAGTTGGAAAGCAGTCACCAGGGCCACTGTGTACAGAGACTCCCCGGCAGTGTTTCAGGAATCGGTGTGGCCACACTCCCAGGCCTATCTGCATTTGGAAGGGAAGAAAAATGGGTCTAATGGGCCCAGGATCTCTGATTTCTCTACCTGCAGCTTCCCTCTCCCACCTGTTGCTTGGCCACTCACCTGTTAGTCTTGGCAGGCCCTTGAGTGAATGTGAGAAGAATCCCAGAGGTCCCAGAGCCCCTGGAGGAGAAGGGACAACAGAAGGCTGAAGCTGTGTCCTGAGCAGACACTTGTGGCCGGAGTAAGATATCCTGTGCTTTTCTTTGGGGTTTTGCTAACTGATGACGGAAAGCTGAAGTGCCAAAAATAAATCACAACTGCAAGCCTGGGATGCAGGCCAGGCTCAGCAGGGCTAGGCCCAGGGCCAAATCCTGCCAGGGGCAACCCCTGGTGGAGGGCAAGGGAGGTGCAGGTGGCCCAGGATCATGGGACATTGAGGCAAGGCCTTCCTTCTGGAGCTCACCTGGCTTCCAGGCCCAGAGGAGGCAAAGCCAGAATTGTCAGGAACATGCACATTTCTCTGGGAGTGATTCCCCTGAATGTCAAGAACAGCTTGGTACACAGGTGTGGCAGCTGTCACAGGGCAGACACCAGCATGCACTGCCTTCTGTGTGGGCCCCTCCTGAAGACAGGCCTCAAAGCTTAGGGACCCTCCCCTGGGGAGCTCACCTCTGCTATGCCTTCCACAGGTTTATCTGAAACACCCTCCTTCTACTCACCTACTTACCTGGTGATCTTGAGCAAGTCACTCTTCTTGTACTGGAAAGAGTCCCACATGCCAAAAAATGTCAGGGTGCTCCTGAGACTGGTTCCATCTTAAGGGATGGACAGAATTAGGAATGAGATTGCAATGTGCTGGCATTTAGTGGATACCCACTTTTATTGGGGGGGGGGGGGAGCACTGGGGATTGAACCCAGGGGTACTTTACCACTGAGCCACATCCACAGCTCTTTTCTCTTTTTGAGACAGATTCCAAGGCTTAGGACCTCACTAAGTTGCTGAGGCTGGCTTAGAATTTACAATCATGTCTCAGCCTCTGGAGTCTCTGGGATCACAGGCATGTACCACTGTGCCAGGCCAGGCACCTGTTCTCCTTATAACCACCCTATGTCTTTTCTCAAATCCCTAACATTCCAAAGTGGGGAAGAATGTTGTCACACAGTGTTTCACACAACATTTTAAAAGGATTTCAGTCTCACAGGACCCAAGAATCCTGGTATTAGGCATTCTAGTGTGACTTGCTTGAGGTCACCAAGCAAGTAGTAGAAAGGCCTACACTAAGCCAATGCAGTGGGAGCCAGGAGTCTTTCCACATCAGCCCATCAACTCACATTCTGAATTGCCATAAAGAAAGGAGATAAAGGGCGGGGGATATAGCTCAGTTGAGAGTGCTTGCCTTGCATACACAAAATCCTGGGTTCAATCCAGCACCACAAAAACCAAAAAGAAAGGAGTTGAAACTGACTTTACCAGTGAGCCACAACCCCAGCCCCTACTACTTATTTTAAAAATGGACGTTTCTTTCTCCTCCTCTCTCCCTGCTCCTCCTTAATCTCTCCCCCTCTCCCTAATCTAGGCAGAGTTAATCTGTCCTGAGTACACACCCACCATAGGAACAAAGTAGTCCAGACTTTGGGGGGTACCAGAAGATCTCAGAAATGTCTATCTCCCAAATTCACAAGTGAATTGCAACTCCAGACAGAGAACACATGGAATGTGGCCTTTGAGTCATCTCTTTAAGATGCTCTGACTGAGGGGCAGAATCACAGCCTGTAGGACAGGAGTCCCCTGTGTTTCTCCTTTGCTCGCAAACCAATAAACCTTTTTTTTTTTTTTTTTTTTGAACCTAGGGCCTTGTGCATGTGAGGCAAGCACTCTACCAACTGAGCTATACCCTCAGCCCAGCAATAAACCTTGTCCTCGTTGTTGGATCAGGGACAAGGACATGTCCTAGGTTCAGCAACAGTTTGTCTATATGGTGCTGGAGACTGAACCCAGGACCTTACACATGCTAGGCAAATGCTCTGCCACTGAGCTACACCATGACTGAAAGGTACTTTTGAGAATACAAACTGCAGAAAATGAGGAAAGATCAACTTCTAAAAGAAAATGAAAATTTGAGCTTTCCACGAGGGATGTAGCTAGGTTTCTTTCACTTAAAAATGGCGTGAGGGGTCTGGAGCTGTGCGCGTGTGAGGCACTAGGTTCAATCCTCAGCACCACATATAAATAAAGGTGTTGTGTCATCTAAAACTTAAAAATGACCTGGGGCACAGGGAGGGGAGTTTGAGGTGAGCGGACACACTGGGGGACAACGCAGTACTGACCTGGCCCCAGGAAACCCATCCAGTAGGAAGCCTGTGGCTGCATCTCCTTTGCCAGTCACTCCTTTACAACAGTATTTTTTAGGATTTGTTACTTTTTGTGGTGCTGGAGATCAAACCTGAGGCCTCAGGCAGCTAGGCATGCACACTACCTGGCCCTCACACCCCAGCCCCCAAGGCAGGCCTGATGCTCCTCCTGATGCACCCCTCAGGCAGCTGTCAGACCCTCCAGGTGGATACTAATTTAGCATCCAAAGCCTAGAGAAGAGTGGAATGGAGACTACTGTGTTCTGTTGTGAGATTCATCATGTTCGGCATGCAGATCTAATTTATGTACTCATACTTAAAGACCGACCATCACCACAAACTTCAGGAGAAAAATCATTTTATTCTAATACTCAAAGAACATCAGAACAGCTGACTTCAGGAGGCCACATATTTGCCAGTCCCAACTCTGTGAACTTCCATACAGTTAGAATACTCATTTGCTGCCATTCACAAAAACTGAAGCTATTAAATGAGGCTTTACATTGCAGTTTTATATTCATACTTTCACTATCAATTACATTTTTATGTTAAAGTAACTTGGTCATCAGAGCCGATTTTCCAATTCTTCAATTTGAACTTCTTGATTAGACTAATCCTGCAAACAGAAAATGTAAGTTAGAAGTACACTGGCTGCAGATACTGACAAAACAAATGTCTGAGATAAGCTACTGAAGGCTTCTTTCAACTAACAAAGTTTCAACTCTCCGGCTGCCTCAACAGAAAAGACAAGGTGCATGTGCTTCTAGGAACAAAGTTCTGAGGGAGAAATTCAGCTACTCTGGTACTGTATGTAATGCCAACAAGTCTTCTGACAATCTTGGACAGGCAATCTCTTAATTCCATATTTCAACCACCTAAAAGGATTTAAAATTTTCCCCTACTTCCTACCTAAATGAAGGAGGAAAAATAAAATTCTTAAAACAGGCAGGAGACACTTACACAAAAGTAAGTTGACTACGAATTTCAGAAAGCCAACCTCAAGAGTTTGAGGAACTTAATGTAATTTTATACTCACAGCCTTAAGGCTAAGAGACCACTCACATGTAGTAAAACATAACAAGATCTGGCATTTATACTTGCTTAAGGAAGAGTCATAGTTAGAACACAGCTGGTGAAAGCACAGAGAAATTTAAACAATACTTCTTCTAACTTGTTGGTGTAACTTATCAACAGACTCCCTAAGTACCACAGGCTCAGGAATACTACTGTGAACTGAGCACATGCAAGCCTGCTCAATCACTTACCATTAGCAATTCTGCACTGCTTCAACACCTCATTGAAACCCTCACAGAGCTTAACATCAGCTTGGTTCTGGGCACACTCCAAAAATTGTTTTATCTCATAAAAGCAAGGGTCACTAAGCTGCTGCTGCTGTGCTGGCTGGGTTCCCTGAGGCTCCTGTAAAGTTAAGGCAAAACATTTGGTAACTCCTGAGAAAGAAAATCGCTACAGTTTTTGCAGTTAACTGGGGAAACAACCAGGATCAAATACAAATTAATCAAAGTGTCCACATAATAACACTGAAAGTGAAAAATATCAAGAGGCAGAAAGCAAGTGAATTTTAATAAAACTTCAGCTGCAATAAGAAAGTTTCATGAATACAAATGCAAATAAGGCAGAATGGTTATCTGGGCACCTCAAGATTAAATGGGGCTGGGGTTACAGTTCAGTGATAAAACATCTGCCCAGCATGTGTGAGGCCCTACTAAATGAACAGAATACAAATAAAACATACTGGGGAGGTAGCCCAGTACAACACCCACACAGGCAAAAAAAAAAAAAAGAAAGAAAAAAAGTTCCAATGAAACTCGATGAAGGAAAAATGGGACTACTATGGGAAAAATAGGGGTGAGTTTCAAGAACACCAGAATTATAGAGTCCCAACTTATATTCATTAGTAAAGAAAATCCACACACTTCAAAGAGGTGCTGGAAAATATCAGGCAAGGGATCACAAAGCAAATTTTTGATTACTAAAGATTGAGATTAGATTAATAAGAAAAATCATTGAGATTAAATACTTGAAGGGGAAAATGGCTATTTTACAGAGAGTCAGACTGGACTGTCCCAACTGTACACCTTGGGAAGAAACACAATTTGTACAGTACTTGTTGGTGCTGGTCTGAATCACTAACTCAATGTCAAATAGGGCTTTTGACAACACACTTTCTATTAATGGTATTGTAGATTCTAACCTTAAAGACAATTCCTAGGCATAAGGAACTTATAAACAATTATATTTTCTCCAAACATACCTGGTAAGTGATATCAGGCTTTGCGGGCTCTCCTCCACTGAAGCCTCCAGTGATGGCATGGCCCAGTGTGTGCCCCACAGCAGAGCCCACTGCCACACCAGCTGCAGTGGTTGCCATCTGGGCCATCAGACCTGGCTGCCGGGGTGCTGCAGCAGGGGACCCGACTGCAGATGGTGGGGCTGCAGCTGGTGGCTGAGCTGCTGGTGCTGGCCTGGGCGCAGCCCTCATCTGAGGGGCCCGGCTGTGAGAAAAAGGAACAAGGATGAAGTACTTCTAACTGGTTTTGTGAACCGTCAACTTAAAAATGAACTCTCTTCCCATCCCCACCCCTGCAGCCACTTCAAAGTTTTCATATAGGTCACAGACTCTTTTCAAAACACATTTATTCCAACATTCATAATGAAAAAAGTAAAAGGGCTGGGGTAGCTCAGCACTAAAGCACCTGCATCAGTCTTTGGTGCCACCAAGAAAAGACAATGAATGAAGAAAAAAACCTAGAATTCATCTACTCAAACATTAGGCAGCAGTATTGCAGAGGCTGGGAATATAACAGAGGCAAAAACCTCTGCCTCGGTGGAGCTTAAGTTCTACTGAAACTTCCAAGAATTACTTCATATAATTTAAAATGTCATGATGCCTTTTGATACAGTGGGCTAAAAAATTAAGTTATATTAAATATTAAGGAATAAATTCATTTTCTTTTGTTTGTACTGGGGATTGAATCGGGGGGTGCTTTATTTTTTACTTCCAAACTTGCTAAATTGCTGAGGCTGGCCTTTAACTTGCCATCCTCCTGCCTCAGCCCCCAGAGTCGCTGGGATTACAGGTGTCTGACCAGGAGAAGATTTCTTTAGAAAGGCTATGTTGGGGGATATCAGAATCTCAGAAGAACCAAAGCGAGCCTCACCGTGCCAGCTACATTCGAAGGCTCTAGCCCTGGGCTGTCCCCAGGAAACCGAGCCCGAGGGTCGCTCGGGACGAGTGCGGGAGCAACCTGGGCAACACCGCGAGACCCGTCCTCAAACCACAGAAGACTCGGCTGGGGAGAAGTCTGGGCTGGCATCTCGTTTTGGACTGGAAGGCGGCCAGCGCTGGCGACTGCCGGGCTGCAGCACGTACCGGGGCTCCCACCCGCGGCCACCGGCGCTCCCAGCATTCCCACCGGAGCGTCAAACACCGCTGCGCCACCCTTAGCCCAGGTCAGGCCCTCGGAGCCTTCGGGTCCCCTCCCCGCAAGTCCCTCCCGAGGAGCGCCCGGGTGAGCTCGCGCCCCGGCGTGACAGCCGCACCGGCGAGTCCCGCACCACAACAGAAGACGCCGTGCCCTGCGCTCCCCGCACCCTAACCCTAACCCGCCCGCCCCGCGACCCCGCGTCCCGCAGCCAGCAGCTGGGCGTCCAGACGGGGGCCCCGCGCCCCGCGGGGCCTCACCTGGCTGGGGGCGCAACGCGCGAAGTGCGGCTCCGGCTTCCACGCGGCATGGTAAGTTCCCGACGGCTCGGCGTCCAGAAGGCTAAGTGCAGTGCGCAGGCGACCACCTCCGAAGGCTAGCGGAAGCTGGGGGCGGGGCTGTCCGGGGCGCAACCAATCAGCGCGTAGGCAGGGGCCGGGCGCCGACGTCCACGGGCCCTGAAGGTCACCGGAAGAGCAAGACGTCACTACGGCTTGGCAGCGCAATGACGTCATGAGCGGGCGCCGGCGCTCTGGGAGACCGGAAGTTGGTGCGGGGCGTGTTGGGCGCGAGCAGAGAGGCGGCGGCCTTGGGTTCCTCGCGAGGGTTTCGAAAATGGATTCAGCAGACAAGCGCAAGGAAGCCTCATGTCTGTGTGACCTGCTAAGGTCGCGCGGCATGAGCGCCTCGTGTCCGTCACGACAGCCCCTCTGCGTGCCGCCGTGCAGTTACGGTCCGGAGCGGGACAGCGTCCGCACGCCGCGGGCGCGGCGTGACTTCCCCGGGCCGCGAGGCTCACCCTGCGGTGACTAGCAGCGATCCCGGGCTCCGTCCGCAGTACCACAGATAGTAGTAATTACACACAGACACACACCCCAGATCTGCCTTCGCGGAGCTTGGGTTTCAGGGAGGGGAACCCCAAAGCCTCCCTGAGTCAGGCAGTGGTGATGCGAAGAAAGCGCAGGAGGCGAGTCCGCCGCGCTAGAGGGGCGGCGGGCCGGGGCCTGCCGTGGCGGCGGTGTTGCCCTGCCCTGCTCTTGACCTGCCCGTGGAACCTAGATGCCTCATCCTGATCTTGCTTTTTCTTTTCTTTTTTCTCTTTCTGGTTATCGAGTCCAGGTCATTCAACCACCGAGCCACATCGCTGGCCCTTTAAATTTTGAAGCCCTTTTAATTTTAATTCCTTGTAGCTGGAATTTAGGTGTGGGCCATCTTGCAAACTTTGTTTTTCAGCAGCAGATGCTGGTGGGTCAGGTGGGCTAGCCAAGACTGACTGGATCTAAGGTGTTGCCAGAGTGACCCAGGCAACCTCTAACTTCATTATTGTCTTGTCTGATTGCTAAATGCTAACCCCACACACCCAGCACCAAGAGTTGAGTTGCTATGACAACTAGTAAGAACCATAAAACGAGTGAAAAGAGGTGGGTATTGTTGTATAAGACTGTTAACAATGCTGAATCTATTATTATTTTAGTTGTAGTTGGACACAATACCTTTATTTTTACGTGGTGCTGAGGACCGAACCCAGTGCCTCATGCATGCTAGGCGAGCATTCTACCACTGAGCCACAACCCCAGCCCCTGGTTTGCTAGTTTTTTGTTGAGAATTTGTGTATTAAGATCCATAAACAAGAGCAGTGGCACACACCTGTAATCCCAGTGGCTCAAAAGGATGAGACAGGAGGATCACAAGTTGCCAGCCTCAGCAACACAGGGAGACCCTACAAAAAAGGTTGGAAATGTGACTCAGTAGTAGAGTGCCCTGGGTTCAGTCCCCTTATTGTTAAGCCCCCCACCTAAATTCACTTACAGTGATCAAAATTTGAACCAAGAAACTTAAAAGTTGTTATAGATAAGAAATTTAGGTAAACGGACTCAATGATTGCAGTAAAAATTCTCAAATTAGGCAATAGGCAACAATTTTATTTTTAGTACTATCATTTAGAGAAGACTGTTTCTATTTTTGTTTTGAGAAGGGTTCTTGCTACCTTGCCAAGGCTGTCCTCAGAATCCTGGGCTCAAGGGCTGGGGTTGTGGCTCAGTGGTAGAGCACTTGCCTTGCATTTATGAGGCACTGGGTTTGATCCTCAGCACCACATAAAATAAATAAAAGGTATTGTGTCCATCTACAACCAAAAAAATTTTTTTTTTTAAATTCTGGGTGTACAACCAGAGATATGAAAAAATTGTGCTTTCTATGCATAATATGAATTGTAATGTATTCTGTTGTATAAAACAAATTAAAATTTTAAAAAAAAATTTTTAAATCCTGGGCTCAAGCTATCATAGGACTACAGATGTGTTACTACACCTAATGGCATCAGAATTTTTTTTCCAGAGGCAGATATCAAACCCAGGGCCTTTAAAAGATAGGCAAGAGCTCCACCACTAAACTACATCCCCAGCCCAAACAGGAAAATTTAAATTGTATAATGTTCCTGATTGTAGAAATTAGCTGTAGGAATGTTCATTTAACAGACTTAAAATAGAGAAAACCTGTAAACAACTTAAGCATACTACAATATAGAATTATTTATAAGTTAAATGTGATGAAATGTACACTGTCATTAAAGTTATGAAAGGGTGCTAGGGATGTAGCTCAGTGTTGTTGGTACTGGGGACTGAACCTAAGGGTGCTTAATCACTGAACTACATCCCCTTTTTATTTTTTAATTTTGAGACAGGGTCTTGCTAAGTTGCTTAAGATCTCACTAAATTATTGAGGCTGCCCTTGAACTTGGGATCCTCCTGCCTCAGCCTCCCAGATTGATGGACTTATAGGTGTGCACCACCACACCCGACATAGCTGAGTGTCATAGTGCTTGCTTATCATGAGCAAGACCCTGGGTTCAATCTCCAGCATGGAAAAAATTTATAAAAGAACATTTGACATGACATATATACACATCTATCTATATGATACATCTATATACACGTCTATCTATATGATACATCTATATACATGTCTGTCTATATGATATATTCCATCCCCAGTCCTTTTTTATTGTTTGAGACAGGGTCTCCCTAAATTTCATTCGCCAGCTTCAAACCATAAGTTCCCCTTGCTTCAGCCTAGTGAGTCACTGGGACTGCAGGTGTGCACCATCATGCCTGGAGTCGTCACAGTATATTAAGTGCAAGAGCAGGTTACAAAGTGTTTTTCACAGTCTATTTTGAAAACTTTAAAGTACATATACACCCAACTGAGTGCCATCTAGCACGGGCAGCTGAACTAGGTTGCTTGAGCTAGCTGGGCTCTTTTTGATTTTAGTTTAAAGGCTCCAGGATCATCAGATAAATCTTTTTTTTTTTTCTGAAGATGTGGAATTGCCCATGTTAATTTTTTAATGTCCCTTACTCTCCATTTATCTGCTTCTTTCACAACCCAAAACATGTTTCTCTGAATTTTTAAAGTGCGCTCAACCCAAGTCAAACCTACAAATTCACATTGAGTGTCCCTGTTGGGGCTCCAACTGCCACCCCCATCCAGCACGGACAGCTGAACTAAGGTCGTATGAATCTGTGGTGACGCAAAATAAAATAGACACATTTACCTTTACACAATCTTCAGGATGGCTTCCCCAGGCTCTCAGCCTCAGGCTCCCCAAAAGGGAGAGCATGGTTGGAAGTCAGCTTTTATTTGGGGGGGAGGCACTGTTCTTAGAAAGTTCTATCCATAAAATGGCAGAAGAGATAGGATTACAAGGGAGCAGGTGAGTGTAGCTCAACCCCTGCAGATGACGCCTACACCTGAAGACCTGCCTTGCTATCCAAGCTGGGACAATTCCCAAGTCACCATGAAATGTAGTGACTGGTCAGAGCCTTGTGCTTCAGCACTGGAAGGCATGGTCATTCAGAGCGACTCCCCACAATTGGGTACTGGAATTACAATTTTTCTGCAATGAATACACAATAATGAAACATACCATGGTAGTTTAAAATGCATCCACACATCCTTAGACATTCCCTTCAAAAGATGGAGATTTATGTCTCTCACTTTGAATATGGGTGGTATTTAGTGACTCACTCCTGACAGGAAAATCCAAAAGTGAAGGTCTAACTTTGGAAACTAGTTCATAAGAGTTCTGCAGCTGCCTCTACACTCACTCTCTTTGGGTTCCTCACTCTGAGGAAAGCCAGATGTCATGCCATGAAACCCAGGCAGCCTTTGGATAGAGCCTCATGTGGCAAAGAACTGAGGCCTGTCACAGTCACTGGAGTATGCCATTTTGGAAACAGCCTTCAGAGGTCTGTGAGCCAACAGCTTAACTGCAGCCTCAGGAGACACCTGAGTCAGGATGACCCAGAATGACCCTGAGGTGAGTACAGTCAAGAAGACTGCACTGTCAAGTGGCACTAGCCATCTCCATTTGTGCAGGTGCACCACTGTGTTCACACAACAAGGAAACTGCCTAGTGCATTTCCCGGAACACATCCACTGGTTAAGCAGTATGTGACTTGTTTTAAGCCACTAAGTCTGAAGTAATTTGTTACACAGCAGTATATAATACACATTTTTCTACAGCCACCATGTTTTAAATTTAATTAAAAAGTTCTAGCATCTAAAACAAGCAAACTCTATTAAGCAGATCATCTTACAGAGTGTCGGTTTGACACGGCCACTGTCTGGACATGCTGTACTTAACAGTTGGCTGTGGAAGAACCAAAATGGTAAGTTGCTCTACATGTCATTTTTCTTTGGAGAACTGAGATATATGAATATAGTGCCTTTCACATATCTGACAAAAAAAAAAATAACAGCTGGAACTGCTGATCTGAAAGTACTAAGAACCATACAAACAAGTCATTAAGTGAAGTTTTAAGTTAAAATCCAATATATGATTTTTAGGACAATATAAGGATTTCAAGCTTTTTACACTACATGGTTAGAGAAGCCATTGAGGGTTTTTGTATGATTAAAATTTTCTCTAGGAAGATTAATCTGGACATGGTATTTGAATGGCTACTGCAGGTTTGGCTAGAAGTCCAATGCTCTATCCATTGCACCACAGAGCCAATTTGTACATTATATTTGAGAGGTAGAAGGGGGACCAAGCAATGAAAACATTAAAAATTACCTTAAGGCTAGGCATGGGGCACATGCTTGTAATTCAAGCTACTCAGGAGGCTGAGGCAGGAGAATTTCAAGTTTGAGGCCACCCTGGGCAACTTAGCGAGACCCTGTCTCAAAATAAAAATAAAAAAAGGGTTGGGGATGTAGCTCAGTGGCAGAATGTGCTTGCCTAGCTTGTATGAGTTGGGTTCAATCCCTGATACTGGAAAAAAAAATTAACGCCTGCTGTGTGTGTGTATAGTACTGAGAGTTTTTTTTTTTTTTTTTTAAAGTGGTCCTGGGGATTGAACCCAAGGCCTTGTACATGTGAAGCAAGCTCTCTACCAACTGAGTTATGTCCCTAGCCCTGTACTAAGAGCTTTATACTCAGTATTTCATTTACACTTAGAGACATTACAATTACTACCATTTTATAGGTAAGGGAAAGATGCTTAGATTTTAAATAACTTGTCCAAGGCTCCATAGTGCTTACCTCCAAAGCCAGACTACTACCATACTACATTGCTGGAGACATTTTAGCAGAAGAATTAAAGTACTAAGTGAAAAAATTTAAGATTTCATTACTCAAGAGTAAGTAGAAGAAAGATATTCTATAAATTTAAAATTAGCTACCACTCATTTGAGTACCTATCATGTGCTGGCTCTTAACTGTGTTAGATGCTTTCTACATTCTGTCTGTAATACAGTTTTGCAAGGTGAACCAATATCATTTCCACTTTACAAATGAGAAAACGAGCTTGAGGGAAACTGAGTTACCACTCAAAAGTTTTCTGGATGTCAGAGTGGCAGATTATCTCAGCCAGTATTCACATGAGCTGTTCCTTTCAATATATTATCTTCTGTCCCAAACAAGGACGCACTGATAGGTGCAGAAGGCCTGCCTGAATGCAGACTAAAGAGGACAGTCAGCCTGCCATATTCTGCATAATTTTACAATTGTAACTCAACTCTTTTCCTTAAACATGGAGTTTGTGAGTGGTTCTGAAACATACAACACTGTTGAACAGCTAAGGAAAATTGATGCTGGAAAAGTGAATGCCTTTATCTGCTGGTTTGGGGCACTTTAAACTTTTTTTCTTTTTTTTTGGTACTGGAGATTGAACTCAAGAGCCCTTAACCTCTGAGCTACATTTCCAGCCATTTTATTTTGAGATAGGATCTCATTGAGTTGTTTAGAACCTTGCTGAGTTGTCCAGGCTGTCCTCAAACTTGCCTCAGCCTCTGGAGTTGCTGGGATTACAGGAATGCACCACCAAGCCTGCCTAAAACACTTCCTGTATCTTGGGGAAAATTATAAATTTGAAAATGCATTTGAAAAAAAGCTGCCTTTTTTTTTTTTGTACTGGAGATTGAACCAGGAGCACTGTACCACAGAGCTATATCCCCTTTTACTTATTTTTGGTACTGGGGATTGGACCCAGGTGTATTTTATCATGAGCCACATGCCCAGCTTTTTCTCTTTTGAGACAGGGTCTTGCTAAGTTGTTTAGGGCCTTGCTAAATTGCTGCAGCTGGCTTTGAACTTCCAATCCTCCTGTGTTGGCCTCCGGAATCTCTGGATTACAGGTGAGCACCTTACCCAGCCCCTTTTCATTTTTTGAAGAAGGGCCTAATTAAATTGTTGGGGCTGACTCAAACTTGTGATCCTTTTACCTTGGCCACTAAAGAGTCACTGGAATTACAGGCTTCACCTCTGTACCCAGCTCCTCATTATTCCTTTATCAGTTAGCTTAAGGAAAATGAGCCTCCTGTAAATTTTTTCATTTTTTCTTTCCCTTTTTTTGCAGGGGAGAAGTACTGGGGATCCAATCCAGGGCTTCATCAGCGCTAGTCAAGGGCTCTATTACTGAGCTACATTCCAAGGCCTTTTTTATTTTGAGACAGTGTCTGACTGTTGCCCAGGCTTGCGTCCAACTTGTGATCTTATAGCCTCCAGAGTAGCTGGGATTATAGATATCTGCAACCACAAAATATTTTGCATTTTCAGAAAAGTGTTCAACTACAGTATGGTTTGCATATATGTATTAACATACCATGTAGAAAAATTCTGGTTAAAATTGAATGAAATATTTACTGTTATACTAAACACGGTCTACTGCCTAATTAGCTGTGTAATCTCTGGAAAGTTACTTGAACTCACTGTGCCTTAGAATTTCTTCTCTAAAGTGGGGATAGCTGCATCTACGTCAAAGGATTGTTAGGACACCAGTTAAGTGCAGAGAACCTACCTACTGTTGAGTGTGTCCTATTATAACAAATTTTAAACCTTCAGTGTGGTCTGTGACATTTGGATAGAAATCTTGTACAAATTCCTCTTTGGTCTCCCCCATCCGTCTCTATGATCTTTGCATATAAGAACCCAAGTATTTATGCACCAGAAACGAGTTACTATAGTAACTAGAAGAGGGAAAAAAGCCCAGAAGAGTTGAAAATGCCATTCTTGCTGTTCTGTTTTAATTAAAAACTCTAAAAGGCATATCCACTTGGACGTTACTTAATTAACAATTGGTAAGGAAAAGATTGAAGCAGCAAACTTAAGGATGTCGAAAGTTCTGTTGACCAACATGGAGGACCACAGTTACAGTTGGACTAAGTGAAAATACTTTTATCGGGTCCTTTGAGTATCCTGTAGAAAATCAGACAGAAAAAGAAATCAGTACTCTAGTGTGAATGTGAGCGCTGGAAGAGCGCTCCTGTCTTCCAAGCGGTTCCTGCGCTTCGTTGCGGCTTTGGGCCCGGCTGCGGTATGGCTGGCGGAAGGCGGCTTTGCACCCCTGCAGCGACAGCCATGAGAGGCGAGCGTACTGCAGCGTGGCCGGGCAGCCCCGGCGGGAAGACGGCCCCGGGTCGCGATCTGCACCTACCAGCGCTTAGGCGAGGCAAGTGCGCGGCCGGGGCTGCAGCTGGCGCTGGCGACGCTTCCGCTGGCCGTTGAGGAGCCTCTGCGCGACCTTGCGCTCGTGGCCGCCGGGCACCGGCCGGTTGGTGCGCAGTTCCTGCTCGCGCCGCGTCCGGCCCTTGCTGCGCCCCGCCCCGGAGGCCGGGAAGTCACGCAGGTAGTGGTAGTCGAGGCAGTCGTACAGCTCCTCCTCGTAGTTCACCGGCAGCTTCGCCTCAGCTGGCGGCGGCCCGGCCCGGCGGACGCGGAGACGAGCAGGCTCGGGGCCCGGGTCCATCGCGCCCCGCCGCGGAGGAGCCAGCCCTTGCGGGCCTCTGGAGGGCGGAGCGGCCCGGCCCTCCGATTGGCTCCGCCGGAGGGGCGGGGCGAAGGGGCAAGTTGCCCGCCTCGCGCTCCCATTGGCTCCACCTGGAGGGGCGTGGCCAGGGTGGAGCTTCGCCGACGTCATAGAGCCCCGAAGGTGCTGGCCTGCCCGGCGATGGTGACATCCTGGTGATAGTCGCTGCGGGCTGGAGAAGGTTGGCTGGCGAACTCCTCTCAACATTCAGTTTGTGCTGGCCTGCAGGCGAGAACCATCCAGGTGTGCAACAACGAGGAGCTCCTGGGGAACGGCGGGCCGAGTGCTCGCGAGGACCGCTTGGTAATGATGCCCAGCGAAAGGCGGGCTTCCTGGAGAGGTGTTGGTCACCTCGGAAGCGTGCACTGAAAATGCATCTGCCTGTACAGCGACTGCAAGGAAGTTGTCAAGGGCTGGGAGCTCCTGTGGCTGGCGGGGCCACACGTTGTTTTTTCCGTTCGCCCTCGCCCCTTTGCGCAGTTGCTAGGGCAGCCGAGGCGGGAAAGAGCCCCGCGCGCCGCTAGGCTGACCTCACGCAGGCCCAGAACCTGGGGGTCTCATTTCCTAGTCCTGCCTCTCTCATCCCGCTTGTAGGGAATAGGCGGGAAGGCCTACCTTTGGTTCTTCTTGGCTTGCTCGGTTAATGCTTATCCTGGGAAAATTGCAGATACCCCTAAGGGTAGATCGAAAAGTATTCCCTACTTAAAAAGGAAAAAGAAAAACAAAAGCTTTTCAAACTTTGGTCTTACAGAGTTCCCACCTGTGACAGTTGCTGATTTGAACTTTTTCCTGCGCACTCTGGGGCCAGATCTCTGGTGGGCACGTGGCCTGCCTAAGTCCTTAGATGAACAAATCCCAGAGTATTTTAAATAAAACACTGAGGGGGTTTCAGCTTCCACCCACATATCTTATATCTGTGTGAAGAAGGAGAACTAATGCTTGTTCACTATACCACTCTCCTATACATAATTTAAAAAAACTCTTTAAAATTTGTTATGAAAATGCACATTCTCAAAAGCAAAGAGAACAATGAACTCTCATGTCCCATCACAAACGTTCAACAGTTGCCAAGATCCTGAAACTTCACGTATTCCCGTTTTCTTCTACTGCTGCATTTTAGAACAAATTACAAATATTATGTCATTTCACTTTTGTACATATCAGTATACATCTCTGAAAAAATAGAAAAGTAGATCTGTGTTTTGCAAAACTACAATGCCTTTTCACACCGGAAAATCAGCTAATCCTGGAGTTATACCTAGTCCAGAATAAAATTTCCCTAGTAGTCTGGCTGCACTCTCTTACAATTGGTTTGTTCAACTCAGATTACATACAAAATCTGCATATGAAATTTACTTCCATGGCTTTTATGTGTCTCCTATTCCAGAGCATTCCCTCTCTCACCCTTTTATTTTCTCCCTTTCATTGCCTTTTAGAAACTGGGTCATTCCGCATGTAGAGTTCCATTTTGTGAATTTGACTAATTTTCTTCCAGTGCCATTTAAAATTGTTCCTCTCCCACATTTCCTGTAAATTGAGGGTGGATATAGAGATTTGGTACCTGGATTCAATGTGGTAGGGTGAGTAAGAATACTTCCCAGGAAATGATGTGCACTGACAACACGCAGTGCTTCACTGTTCCGGTTTGAATGTCGCTGGGCTCCTCTGAAGACAGTTTGCCTCTGTGATGCTCTTCATTATACTCTGTCTAATGGTTTTGTCCAATGTTCATTGCTTACTTGCTGTTTTCATTTGCTGTTATTTCATCAGGGGTTGTGGTAATTTTTTCTTTTTATGCAGCACTGGGGATCAAACTCAGGGCCTTGTACATACTAGGCAAACACTCTGTCAAGTACTACTCGCCCAGCCCAGTTAATTTTCTAATTCAATCATTCTTTCTACATTTATTATCTATAATTCTTTCTCTCATGAACTAAGGCTACTATTTCATTGCCCTTAAATATACCTTGATAGCAAAGGAAGGACAAATTTTTTTTTTTTTTAAAATATTTACTTTTTAGTTGTAATTGAACACAATATCTCTACTTTATTTATTTATGTGGTGCTGAGAATCGAACCCAGGGCCTCTCACGTGCAAGGCGAGCGCTCTACCGCTGAGCCACAACCCCAGCCCCTGGACAAATGTTTAATTCTTCATTATATGTATGTTATATATGGATAAATACCTTTATTATCTTTATGTGGTGCTAGGAATGAACCCAGTGCCTCACCCATGCTAGGTGAGCACTCTATGACTAAGCCACAACCCCAGCCCCTAATTCTTCATTTTTAAAGTGGATTTTGCTTTTTTATCCTATGAGAATCATTATGAAGCTGTGGATCTTTTTAAACTATAATCAATGTGTTTCATTCAATTTCATACATTTTTTTTAATGCTCAAATTTCCCTGTATGTGGCCAAGGAGAGCTCATTCTTGTGATCCTTTTTCTCTGGCCTTAACATAGTCTTAGAGAATGTACTTGCTTTCTGACACATCAAAGTGTTCATGCTCATCCTATACATTTCTGCCCTAAAAAGTGCCCATACTCATCCTATACATTTCTGCCCTACAGCCAAAACCAGCCATTAGCATCATATTCACCTTTAGAGATGAGCTATTTTGATGCTAAGCAGATCACACCCTATATGATCTATAGGAGTCCATTGGTTTGGATTAAGCTTCTGAACTATGCCCAGCAGATCAAACCAAAGTGGAATTTGCTGAAGTTCCACACCACCAAGCCAAACTAAGTTGTCTATTTGACCTTCCAAGAAATTGAGAGATGTTAGCCAAATCCCCAAACAGACCAGTTCTTTCCTGATAAAAGTCAAAAGTAAGGAAATTCCCTTACTTTTGACTTTTATCGGGAAAGAAAGTTTGAAACAATCTTTTTTATTCTCTGTGGCTGCTTCATAAAACCAACTTCCTCTGCTCAGCAATTTGTTGCCTTATTCTATAAATGCAAATGAAAGTCAATTAGATCTTTAAATTTGTTATAACTGTCTTTTGGCAATTGTGCTAAACACTTGGTTGATAGCTTTGCCTTTAGGAGGCAGAGCCTATTTATTTGGAGACAGGCCTTTGAAGGGTATATTTTGTCCCTGGCCCCTTTCTCCCTCTCTTGGCCACCACTAAGGTGAGCAGCTATGCTGTATCACACATCCCTCATCATCATAATCTGCCTCACCACAGGCCCAAACACAAGGAAGTGGACAGGGACTAACATCTCTGAAACTGTGAGCCAAAGTAAGTAATGGAAAGTTGACTAATTCAATCATTATAAGAACCCTGTGAGAGATGCTGTCTTGTTTTTTCCTGATAAGGAAAATGGTAATAACTTTCCCAAGGTTGTATAATTAATGAAAGCAGACTGAGACTAGGACTAAAGTCTTCTGACCCCAGTGTCATTACTTCTTCCTTTTCATTGTGTTTCAATCCACAATTGCTAAATATCCATGCCCTGCTGGCTTCTGAGAAGATATATATATATATATATATATATATATTTATTTTTATATATTTATTTTTTTTTTTTTTTTTTTTTTTTTTTTCCAGTGCTGGGGATTGAACCCAGGACTTTGTGGATGCAAGGCAAGCACTCTACTAACTGAGCTATGTCCCCAGAAAGCAGGTTCCAATATCTCTCATTCTCCTGCCTGAGGACTCTATTATTGGGAAGCATTTTCCCCCTCCACAGTTCTGGGGATTGAACCTAGGGCCTCATTTGTGCTAGTCAAGCACTCTACTGTTGAGGTATACCTCAGAGCCTGGAATAAGATTTCAAAGTAGCTTTTGTGCTGATACAGTAGTACACACCCGTAATCCCAGCTGCTCAGGAGGCTGAAGCAGGAGAATTGTCAGTTTAAGACCAGTCTCAGAAACTTAGCAAGAAAAAGGACTGGGATGTTGCTCAGTGGTTAAGCACACCTGGGTTCAATCCCTGGTAAACCTCCCCCCACAAAAAAAGTATATTGTTTAGGAGCCGGAGCTGCAGCTCAGTGGTAGAGTGCTTACCTCGCATGTGTGAGGCACTGAGTTCGATCCTTGGCACCACATAAAAATAAATAAAAAAGATTCTTTTTAAGAAAAGTACATTGTTGAGTGGTTTGACCCCATACTCGGTGGGACAGAGACAAGCAATGCTCATGCTCTGGGAGTGGTCTCTAATTCCTCATGTTAGCCTACATGTGCACAGATTATAAAGCTTTGTTTCTCTCATTAGAATTCTCAATAAATCATTGCAGCAACCCTGTGAGTAGTAGAAAAAGAAATGAAGATTCATTTTCTTCATCTGGCTTGGTCAGGATCCATAGCTGAGTGACACTGCACACCCATGTTTGCTTTTGAACCTAAGCAGAGCTTGCTTCTGTCTCTGTTATCCCTCAGACAGGACTTAAGTGACACTGGCTTTACCTCACATCCAACACTGCTCTTCTCCACTCATTTATGCCTTTGCCATGTTCTTGTGGTTGCCTGGCACCCCGTCAAGATTGTCCCTCCCCCAGCTATAGGTGTAAAATAAGTTCCCATTCATTAAACATGTGTGTGTGTGTGTGTGTGTGTGTGTGTGTGTGTGTGTGAATAGATAAACACTATAGTATTGAAAAGTATTAATGAAAACTAGCAAAATTCAAATTGCTGTTTAAGCCCTGGTCATTCATTCAAAATGTATTGATCAAATATATACAATGTACCCAGCATTGCTTTAGACTTCCAGGATAAAGTTTCCTATTCACTTGCAGTTTATATTCTAGTATGAGACCATGAAATAAACAAAATTTTCAAAGATGCACAACATGTCTCCATTGGTGATGAGTGCGATTAGGAAATATGTAATTTTGTGCTAGAGTCAGTAGAAATATATTTAACAAGAAGAAATAGAAACATGGGCACATTGTGGATGTGATATTTCAGAGGGATTGGAAGACCTTTATGAGAAGGTCTTGGCACTTGAGCAAAATAAAATAAAGAGAGTGAAGGGATGTAATTAATTGGTAGAGCATGTACCTAGCATGCAAGGCCCAACATCACAAAATAAGTAAAATAAAATAGAGCCAGGCACAGTGGTGCATGCCTGTAATCCCAGCAGCTCAGGAACCTGGGGCAAGAGGATTGCAAGTTCAAATCTAGCCACAGCAACTTAATGAGGCCCTAAGCAATTTAGCAAGACCCTGTCTCAAAATAAAAAAACCTAGAGGTGTGGCTCAATGGTTAAGCACCCCTGGGTTCAATTCCTGGTACCAAAATTAATTAATTAATTAATTAAAATAGAGAAAAAGAAAGCGACATCAGCAAATGGCAGGCCTGGGTATTCCAGACTTTGGAGAGAATAATTTTAAGACTATTAGTGATACGCAATGATACCAATAACATATCGTGGGGGAAGACAAATAATGTGTGTGC